TTAAAATTAAAAAATAAATTTCTTTTCTTTCTTAATAATTTATTTTTCTTTGTTTTCTTTTTGCACGTTGTCCTTGGTTTTATAACATATCTGTTTACAGATGGTTTATGAGGCTAAGTGAAAAGTGAAATAAGACAGAAGAATGTCTTCATACACTTTCCTTTAGAGTTACTTTAATTCTTACCTTGTTGACATTTTATCTTGACACATGGATGTGTGGATTTTCCACGAATGTGAATCTAATAAATCTTTAAACTCTAATTTAGATTATGTAGCTATCACAAATTCATGAAAGATAACTTTTCAAAACCACACAGCACTGCATACACATAAAAATGCATGATTCACTGGCTCATTCACAATCTGGTGGCATTTTCATTATCTACATCTACATTTTAGCTAGGTATTAAACAGATGACTCAGTCAGAAATGATTCATAGGTTTAAAATATGAAATAAAAGAGTTGTAAAGTTTAACAAGTAACCTAGGGGAAAAAAACCATACAGCTAAAGCTCTATGAAATAAAAGAGTTGTAAAGTTTAACAAGTAACCTAGGAGAAAAAAACCATACAGCTAAAGCTTCTTTTACCTGGCACTGACACACCATACACATTTGCTTCTTGTATGAAGTCCAACATTACAATGACATCGGAAACTTCTGTAGTTGCAACATTCTCCCCTTTCCATCTAAAATATGTGAAAGAAATTTAATCCCATGAAAACATATGGACACCTCCTCTTTAAAAAACATTAACTTTAGTAGGAACTCCATTCATTTCAGACTAACACCACCTCAAATTTGTTCCCACTTGTCACGTTGGTATATTGATCTGATCACCAGAAGACAACATGTGCAAATGGTACTGGATACAGCTATCACTACAAAGCACAGTGAAAGTTTATCATGATCTGATATGGTTTTCAAAATTTTGATGTGTATCTAAATGTATCAAATGTCACCAGTCTTTACTATTTGATACATTGTTCTCCACTTCAATATCCAACTTCCTTGCTCACAGCAAAACCATCAGTAGTTACTATGCGTATTGGAAGTACTGTTCAAAGAGCTGTAATTCCTGCAAAATATTCTGGAAATGAGCTGTCCAGCTCCATGGGAGCACTTTTTACAAAATTAGGCCCCTATCATCCACTTCAAGATCATTATAAACCACATCACAATAATAATAAACTGAACACATCTGGTTGAAAACAAATAGAACAGTAGTATTCTATTCTGCATGTCCATGTTTTTTAATGAAGAAATGTGAAAAGAAACAATGATTATACCTGAAGGTATCTCCAATCCTGTCCCAAAAATAAAGAAAATTCTCATGGTCTTGAACCATTAGATCTCCAGTATTAAAAAAAAGATCTCCCTTCTTAAATACCTCACAGAGTAATTTCTTTTCTGTGTGTTTCTTATTGCCAGCGTAACCAAAGAACGGGTTCTTTGCATTGACTTTGGAAATGAGAAGACCAGCCTCACCTATACAGAGAAGTTGAAAGAATGTAAACCTAAGGTATCATTGCACATTTCCTGTACTTTACATTAATATTAATTTGGTACATATGATTTTACAAGACCAGGAACCAAGTTTGGCAGGGTTCAGTATATAAGATCCAATCATAAAAACTTACCTGTTTCTACTGCTTTACAATTCCTGTGGTCTCCTCCACATGCAAAGTGACCATAAAGACACAGTACAATACTGTCCACTCAAATTCCTAGTCTTGTATTTCTTCCTGACGACTCACCAGTTTTCTCCCAGAACTGTCATCTAGCAATTGTGAGTTCACGAGTAGGTTTGCTATCCTCTCAAAGTGCACACTTCAAGTGAGTATTATGTCCCACTCCCCACACCTTACTGAATTTCCAGTGATGAGTCTCAACTTCCATCAGCTTCCGACTGAAAAACAAGTGCTAATAAAAAGCAGGCGTTCAACCCAGGCATTAAATCCCTATTTAGTCTCCCTTCAGAAGTTCTGAGAACACTTCTTAAGAATTTTCGTTAATGTGATATAGCCTCATTGCTTTCTTTTTGGAGTAAAATATAAAAGTTTTAATATATTTTTTTTCTCAA